TGAATATATGCTGAAATCTGACAAAGGTCTTTTCTGCATCTATTGAGATTACCATGTGATTTTTGTCTCTGAGTTTATTTATATGGTTTATAATGTTTATTAACTTCTGTGTATTGAATCATCCCTGCATCTCTGGAATAAAACCTACTTGATCATGGTGAATGATATTTTTGATGTATGTCTGTATGGGATTTGCAAGTATTCTGTTGAGAATTTTTGCATCTTTGTTCATTAAGGATATGAGTCTATAGTTTTCTTTTTTGGCTACGACTTTACCTGGTTTAGTATTAGAGTCATGCTGGCTTCATAGAAGAAATTTGGGAGTTCTCCCTCAGTTTCTATCTTTTTGAATAATTTAAATAGTATTGGTTCTTCTTCTTCTGGAGACTACCAGACATTTAAATAGATCTTCTTTAAATGTCTGGTAGTCTCCTTTAACCCACTCATCATTCAGGAGTGTGTTATGTAATCTCTATGAGTTTGTGTGGTTGCTAGGGCTTCTTCCAGTGCTTTAAAGCTTTATTGTGTTGTGGTCTGATAGAATTCATGGAATTATTTCAATTTTTTGTATTTGTTGAGGTTTCTTTTGTGCCCCAGTATGTGGTTAATGTTGGAGAAAGTTCCATGAGGTGCTGAATAGAAAGTATATCCTTTAATACTTGTGTGAAATATATGGCAGATATCTGTTAGGTTTATTTGATGTATGGTATTATTTAATTTAGATGTCTCTCTTATTGTTTGTCTGTTTACCTGTCTAATGGAGACAATGGGGTATTGAAGTCCCCTACTGTTACTGAGTTCAGGTTGATCAGTGTCTTAAAGTCCTGTAGTGTTGTTTTTATGAAGTTGGGTGCACCAGAGTTTGGTGCATATATGTTCATAATTGTAATATCTTCTTGGTTAGTTGTCCTTTGGTCAGAGTGAGATAACCCTCTTTATCTCTTCAATTAATAAAAGTCTGTTTTGTCAGCTATTTCAGATATTAGAATTGCAACCCCTGCTTGTTTCTTAGTGCCATTTGCTTGGATTTTTTTTTCCATCCTTTCTCCTTAAGGTAGTGCCTGTCCTTGAAGGTGAGATGGGTTTCTTATAGACAACAAAAAGATGGACTTGTGGCCAGATGTGGTGGCACACACCTTTAATCCCAGAACTCAGGAGGCAGAAGAAGGCAGATCTCTGTGGGTTCAAGGCCAGCCTGGTCTACATAGTGAGTTCCAGGACAGCCGGGGCTACAGGGAGACCCTGTCTCAAAAAGACCAAAAAAAAGATGGATTTGGGGTTGGAGAGATGGCTCAGTTCTTAAGTGCACTGGCTACTCTTGCAAAGGACCTGGGTTCAATTCCCAGCACCTATATGGTGGCTAACAACTGTCCAGAACTCCAGTTCCAGGGGATCCAATGCCCTCATGTCCTCCGTGAGCATTGCACAACACATGTGCACTTACCTACATGCTGGCAGTACATTCATACACATAAAAAAAAGATGGATTTTGTTTCTTAATCCATTCAACTAGCCTGTGTTTTTTGACTGGGGAGTTCAGTTCATTGATATTTAAAGTTATTATTGAAAGATATATATTGGTTCCCATCCTTTTAATTTCTGCTTGCATTCTTGGTCTAACTTTGTGCTTCCACAGTTATATACCTTCATTTAGTCTCTTTCTTTTGTCCATTGGGTGTAGTCATTCCTTTTTCCTGCTCTTTGTATTGCTCAAGAAGTCTCTGAAAGGCTAGTTTCATGGACATGAATTCTTTCAGCCTATTCACATCATGGAAGATTTTTATTTCCCCTCAACTATAATAGAATATTTTCTGGATAAGGTATTCTAGGTTGGCATCTATGGTCATTTAGAACTGGAAATACCTTGGTCCAGACTCTTCTGACTTTCCTAGTTTGCATTGATAAGTCAGCTGTAATTCCAATGGGTTTTCCTTTACATGTGAGTTGGTGTTTCTCTTTTGCAGCTTTCAGTATTCTCTCTTTCTTCTGTACATTTAGTGTTTTTACTATGGTGTGCTGTGGTCCTGTGTATTTGGTGGTCTATGTGTTTCTTGTATTTGTATGGGGATGTCTTTCCTTAATTTTGGGAAATTCTCTTCTACAATCCTGTTTAAGATCTGGTTAACACTGTTAACCTGAAATTCTTCTCCTTCCTCTGTGTCTATGAGGCATAGATTTGGTCTTTTCATGGTGTCCAATATTTCCTGCATACTCCATTCCTGTGTTTTAAAAAAAATTTTATAATCTTTGTTTAAGCCGTTCAATTCTCCAACTTTATCATCCAGTCTTGATATTCTGTTTTCCATTTCATTCATTCCATTGGTGAGGCTTTCTCCTGTTGTTTCAAATTGGTTTGTTGAGGTTTCATTCCCTTCTTCATTTAGGACTGAGTTTTATTCAATGATTCTATCTCTTTTGTGAACTCAGTCAAAAGTTTATCCCTATCATCTTTTAGTTCTTTGATTTGTTTGTGTGTTCTTTAAATTTGTTGAATTCTTTGATCATGTTTATGATTGTTCTTTTAAATCCTCATTGTAAAACTCTTCTATAGGACTGTTGGTATTTGATAGTGACATATTATTTGTGTTTTTCATATTATTTCTTCTTTGTGATTTTGGCATGTGGATTTCTTTTTGTTGTTTGTGATTCTAGTGTGAGACTCAAATGTTCCTTTGTTGAGTTGAAGTTTGCTTCTGTTTGTATACTTTATGTGCCTTGATTGTTTTCTTATTGGATATGAAAAACTTGGTCTAGGCTTCAGGTTCTCCCTTCTGATTTTATATTGGAGGGACCATATGACTTGAGTCCAGCTACTCAGGAGTTCAGGCAGAGGCCCAAGTTAGGTGAGACTCAGATGCTCTCAGACCTCCTTCTGGGTGTTTCAGGGAGGAAGGCTGGTCTCTGGAATCCAAGGCACATTGGGGATGGGGACAGCCAGCATAGAAAGCTGGTCTCAGGAGTGCAAAGACAAGGTGGGGGCAGGAAAACCTGTGAAGACTCCTAGAAACTAGACTGAAAAATTGACTTGATCTGAGTACAGGGAATCAGGATGCAATTGGGGGGTGGTCCAAACTAAGAGGGTAGTCCAGAGATCCAGGGTGCTGAGAGCAAAAGCAGGCCTGTCCCTAAGGCTAGAAGGAGAACAGGATGTCAAATTAGCTTTTTTAAAAAAGATTTATTTATTTTTATATTACGTGTATGAATGTTTGCCTGCATGTATGTGCACCATGTGTGTAGTGCTTGTGGAAGACAGAAGAGGGCATTGGATCCTCTATAACTGCAGTTACAGACAGGTATGAGCCACCATGTGGGTTCTGGGAGCTAAACTTTTGTCCTCTGTAAGGGCAGCAAGTGCTCTTAACTGCAAAACCATCTCTCTAGCCCCCTCATTAATTAGTTTTGCTTGCACTTCAGTAATTTGCCCTTCCAGGTATGTGGAAGGACATCTAAACTACCATTATGTGTTTTTCAATGAGCCAATGAAAAATTATGATCGAAATACAAGTTACCAGAATATAAGCACAGTTACTAGAATATAAATGTGCAAAAATTACATGAGAAAAAAAATGGCCTTAGCTATAAGTGCCTACTAATAATCAACATAAGAGGAAAATTTTTGGCTTGCAACAAGCATATAATTTCTGATGATTTTTGCAGATATAAACTCAGTATATGAAAGATATAACATTGGTATAAAATATTTGGAAAAAAAACATCAAAAGTAAAAATAGGGACCAGGAAGATGGCTCAGAGAATAAAGGCACTAGCTACCAAGACTGGTGGCCTGAGTTCAATTCCCAGAACCCACATGATAGAGAGATACACCATTGAATATGTACACATACTCAAAGGCACAAGGGCATGGTGCATGTATGTGCACACACAGACACAAACATACACAATAAATAAACGTGAAAAAATTAGGTAAAAATACAGGGTGGAGAGAGAGCTCAATCAATAGAGTGCTTCCTTGGTATATATGAAGCTTGGGTTTAATTCCAGAACCAAAAAAAAAAGCATGGTGGCTCATGAGATGGAGGCAGGAAGATCAGAAGTTCAAGGCCATCTTTGCTACATAGCAATTTGGAGGTCAGTCTGGGCTCCATAAGATTTTTTTAAGGTATTAAATCCACTTAAAATGTACCACACATTCTGAAGAGACAGAACATACTTATAAGAGAGCCTATCACATGAATCCAGTAATAAAGTCCCAACAATTAAGAAAAACTCCTTTTTATTTTTGAGATGGGGTCTTATGTAGTCCAGGCTGGTCTCATACTTGATATGTAGCTCAGACTGGCTTGAATTCCAGATCCTCCTGCTTCTACCTCCCAAGTGATGGAATTAGTAATGCACTACCATGCCCAGTTCACTCATTTTTATACAGCCCTTTAAATATAAGTACTTAAAAACTATATACAAATTAAGAATAGTGGAATACTGGGAAGCTATTTCAATTCACCCATGGATTTAACATTAAAGAAATAAAAACAGAGCTAGTCATCATGCCTGTAGCTAGCTAAATGAGACCCTGTCTCAAAAGAAACTAAAATAAATAAAACAAAATAAAATGATTATTAATAGATTTGATTTTAAAATGCACTATCAGTGTTCGCAGCTACTGCAGCACCAACATGGCACCACCTTGCCTTCAACACATCTGTACTTCCAGATTGTAGCTATTGGTGCTTTGCAAAAGGCAAGTGAGGCCTATCTGGTTGGCCTTTTTGAACATATCAACCATGCCAAACAAGTAACAATTATGCCATAAGCTAGCACACTGCATATGTGGAAAACATACTTAAAAATCTACTATGAGAGGAAACATTTCACTCTAAAACATTTTTCCCACTCTTCTTCCTGTTATCAGTAGTTCTGAATCTTAGATATTTTTCCCCCGGGGTCAAAAGGTACCTAAGTATATGAGTGCGAATGGAAAACTAGGGAACAGAAATCAGATATTGGCAGTTTTTCCATTTTCATTTGTATGTAAATGTTAGTGGTGGGGAAACAACTGGCTACAAAGCCTCTTGCAAGAGTGTTCCCCCTACTGGAGGGGTGAATAAACCTCATGGTTACAGGCCTGGTACTGTGGCACTCCGTGAAATTAGGCGCTATCAGAAGTCCACTGAACTTCTGATCCGCAAACTCCCCTTCCAGGATCTAGTGCGAGAAATTGCTCAGGACTTCAAAACAGATCTGCGCTTCCAGAGTGCAGCTATTGGTGCTTTGCAGGAGGCAAGTGAGGCCTATCTGGTTGGCCTTTTTGAAGATACCAACCTGTGTGCTATCCATGCCAAACGTGTAACAATTATGCCAAAAGATATCCAGCTAGCACGCCGCATACGTGGAGAACGTGCTTAAGAATCCACTATGGGGGAAGCATTTCATTCTAAAATTTTTTTTCCTCTTCTTCCTGTTATCAGTAGTTCTGAATGTTAGATATTTTTTTCCATGGGGTCAAAAGGTACCTAAGTATATGATTGCGAGTGGAAAATAGGGGACAGAAATCAGGTATTGGCAGTTTTTCATTTTCATTTGTGTGTGAATGTTTAATATAAATGCAGGATGTAAAGCATTAATGCAAGTCAAAATGTTTCAGTTGACAAGTTTCAACTATTCAACTTTATAACAAGTATAAATAAACCTGTGAAATATTTCTGGACTATGCCAGCATTTGGAATTTTTTTTTAAATAAATAAATTTCTTATTGATGACAACTAAGTGGTGTTTGTAGTCCTTTTATCACAGATTCTATTATTCCACTATACTTTTCTAACTGAATTGTCCTACATGCAAGTACATGTTTTTAATGTTGTCTGACTTCTGTGCTGTTCCTGTAAGTTTGCTATTAAAATACATTAAACTATTTAAAAAAATATACTTCCCCCTAAAATACCTTTAGGGGAAAGGAAGATCACCATGAGTTAAAGACCAACCTGGGTTACATAATGAGTTTGAATCAAGACCAGACTACATAGCAAGACTGTCTCAAAAATAAATAAATACAGGCTGGAGAGATAGCTTAGCAGTTAAAAGCACCTGCTGCTCTATCATGAGGATTGGAGTACAGATCCCAGCATCCATGTCTGGTGGCTCAAAAACACCTGTGACTCTAGCTCCAAAGGATCCAATTCCCTCTTCTGGCCTCCTCAGGCATTTACATACACATGGAAGCATACACTCATAGACACATACACACAGACATATCTGCAAACAAATAAATATTAAAATAACAAAAACACACTGCCAACTAAGTTAATAATTAACCTTAGAGAATTATTTTACTTCAAATGTACTTTCAGGCGTGTAAGTAGAAGTACATTGTCCAGAGATCTACTTTTAAGAATGAGATATTAACTTTTAAAGAAAATTTTTACATTAAGTTGTGCATGTGTGTTTGTGTGTGTGTGTGTGTGTGTGTGTGTGTGTGTGTGCCTGTGTGTGTGTATCAACATGCAAGCACACTCCATGGCACATGTGTGGAAGTCAGAGGACAATTTGTAGTAGGTGGTTCTTTCCTTCCAACCTTGTGGGTCTGGGGGATTGAACTCAAGTCATCAGCCTTGGCAGTAGGCATCTTTCCCTACCAACCAGCCTTGCCAGCCCTAAAAAAGGGTTTTAAAATTAATTCTTTTAAAGAGGAGAAGGGATGAACCAGCCACTGATAAATACATTTATAACTCTCAGAACATTTCCATAAGGGCTTAAAATGTATGGAGAATTCCACACAAATTATTTTCATCCAGTTCTTCATATTGGTGCTAGTTTTAGAATTTTCATAGGATTTTGAAACTATTTGTTGTAACTGACAATTTTATTTTTCCTATTTATAAGATTTTTATCCAATGTGTATTCAGACACACATTTGGGTCAGTGAAAGACTTTTGTACATTATTCTAAAGAATATTTTTTATTTGTAATTTTTAATTTATGTGTATGTGTGAATTGCCTGCATGTAGGTAAGTGCACCCATGTAGGGGAGAAGAGGCTGTCAGATCCCAGGGAACTGGAGTTACAGACAGTTGTTAGCTGTCATGTGGGTGCTGGGATTCAAACCCAGGTCTTCTGCAAGAACAGCCAGTAATCTTAACCATTGAGCAATCTCTCCAGCTCAGCCCCTCTAATGAACATTTCTAACAACAACATGGTTCTAATTTTTTTTAACTTAAAAAATTGAGAATTTCATATATGCATATAGGATATTTTGATCAAATCCATGCCTACTCCCACCCCTCCAACTCCTCCCATATCTCCCCATCACTTTTTCCTGACAACTTCATGTACTCTTTCTTTTTTTTTAATGGGGTTTTGCTATGCTAACATTCCCCCCTCTGAAGAGGTAACACTAAAATCTTTTAGGGATTAGATAAGAGCTCCCAAATGCTTTTGACATATTTGGCCTTTGGAACAGAGTATGTTGCTAAAAGTCCCAAGGACATTTTGACTTTTAGCTAAGAAACTGACTACTTTGGGATCTTCTTACCCTAACTGCCTAGCCAATTCCTACCTCCTATTCTTATCACACCATCCTCTCAAGAGACCAAATTGTCGATGGGGCATTGGAAGGCAGACTGCTCTGGCTTCTTCCATGCTGAACAGGGACACATTTTTCTTTTGCCTAGCAAGGCTAGACTTGAGAGTGTTGAACTAGGATTTGTTTTCAGGAAATTTGATAGCTGTTGGAGTGTTTAGAATCAGTGTCAATTCCCTCACAAAGTCTTCTAGACAGGGGGAGAAAACAAATTTAGTCATCATTTTAGAACAATAGCTGATTATCTCATTTAGCTACAGGTGGGCGTTACAGTATTGCAGACCAAGATTTGAAGGGGATAAACATTGCTTAGTATCCCCAGGAAAAGAATTCTCACAACAAATGGAAAATTTATTCATTAATGTTTATTATGTCTCATAATTATTAAAAAAGAAAATGAGAATGCAAAAAATGTTAAAATGATATGGGAATGGAGATATTTTCCAAAATAGAAAAAGAGAGAAAGCCTAAGCAGGTGACGGAGATCTGTGTTGGTTTGTTATGATATATAAAGGATGAGACAAAAAAAATAATATGTACATAATCTGAACATTTCTAAGGTCATAGTTGAGTCAACTAGTTCAAGGGACAAAGTATATGCCTAGTCAAGGTTTATCTGACAACGTTTGGTTTTTGCCCAAGCCTTATCTACATAGCACATAGTAATTAAAAGTACCAGACTGGAGGAACTAACCTTCTTGGATGTTTAACAGCCATACTTTGAGGCTTATACTAATCTGGTCAGAGGGACTTAAAGGACACTTGTTGCTCCTTGCCTTCCAAGGTCAACTCAGTTCCAGGGGACTATGGAGCATCTCTCAAAATGTCCTGTAACTGTGGTAAATCACCTGTCCTTTTGATCAAGGAGGCCATGGAGACCCCACAAAATGGTCTTGAACCAGCGTCCAGCCTACAAAGAGGAGGGTCAATACAGAGGAAACATTTCCTCCATGCTTCCTGCCATCCATAGTTGAGCAGGACCTTTGACTTATCTTCACATGGATGGAACTGGTAAAAGAAAAGGAGCTACCAGGTTTTAATCAGGCGTTGTCTGATAGCCTGATAGAAGCCCACCGCCCTATGTAAATGAAGCATTCCAGGAGTACCTATCAGCTAAGGTTTTTACTACCACCCCCATAGTATAAAATATCTTGGTTTCCCCTCAATAATCGGAGCTGGATCACTGAGAATTGGAGCCGAGCTAAGTCACTGAATAAAGGGGCTGTACCACTGACTAAGCTGAGTTCTGTGTCTTACTGCCTATGATCCAGCCTCCCCGGGGGGCGCTATCCTTCCGTCATCGACTCACGGAAATCCAGCTTCAGCTGTCCCGCACCTCTCCTCATGACCCAGCAGCTGACGGGTCCCGAAATTAGAGAGAGAGTGCATGGGTGAAATTGGGGCGGAACTCGACCGGGCCAGCCCTGGTAGCAGAGACCCACAGAGACGTGGAGAAGCAGGGACCCGCCAGCAACATGGAGCAGATGAGCCACGGGACCCGCCGCTTCCCAGGTGCGCGCAGGAGACCGGAGCCACGCTAGCAGCTGGCAATCCCTGCGCCCCCATATCTGGCACCCAACGTGAGAGCCTCTGAACCTTGTGCCAGCCAGCAGCTGGTATCCTCAGAAATGCAGGATTCGTGAGTACCTCTCCCACCAGGAGAGAAGCAAAAATCTCTTCTAATTTCCTCCTTTTGTTTCCAGTCTAAAAGTCTTCGCGTGGGACCGCTAAGGACAGAGAGACAACTGAGGCTTCCTGGTCAGGGCTACTCCCTGATGTTAGCTGAAGGTCTATTTGACCCCCTAACGGACCCCGACTGCCTGCAATGGTGTAGACAAAAGACCTCTATCTATATATCTTTCTAATATAAAAAGGTGACGCAGCGGCCACGTAAGAGTCATTAGGACAGCTGCCAGTCTCTTAAAACTGCAGGAAGGCCTGTGCTGGAGGCCAAGCAAAATCCCCTGAGATTTCGATCTCAGGCACGTTTTCTTGGAAACCATCACTTCACCCCACTTTTTCTATCTCAACACCGCTAGAAAAATCCCTAAAGTTCTAAGAAATCTCCACGTAAGCCTTGAAATCAGCTTCTAAGGTAAAACTTCCCTAGTCAGTTTCGTTATCCTGCCCCCCCAGGGCATTCAAACAACAGCTAAAACCAGTTAAGTGAGAATTTAAATTAACTAGCCCTGTGGAGCACTTGAAAATTCAAGGTGGCTCCTGGCCAGAACAAAAGATTTAAAACCGTCATTTTTTTTTCTGCAAATCTAGAGGTTTGTAACTTGCTGAGGCGCTTCAACCCTCTAGTGTCCGACTGCTGTAAAAACATGTTCCCTTCATAATGGGGAATTCAGCATCACGCCAGAAAAAACGCCAAATTCATTCCCTTAAGACCCTGCTTAAATCTAGAGGGTTTAATATCTCTCAAAAGGAAAGCTTAAAATTTTGGAATGAAGTGTATCAGTTTGCACCAGGATCCTATCAGCAGACATATCTGATGCGGAGGTCTGGAACTTTCTTGCACATGTGGCTTGTAAAAAAGAAATCCAAGAAAGGCATAATTTTCCCCTTTCCATTTTTCCAATAATGGCAGCCA